ATCAATATATTGATTTTTTCCAGAATGTAGACTCGCGTTTTGTCGTCTCACCATCGCACGTTTCACCAGCAGAAACGCGTTCAACGGCGAGTCCAAATGGTTGTTACGATTGTGCTGTGTACAAGACGAAACTTACCATGGCCGATAATAAATGTCGATATTTGGAAAGTCGTGGGAACACGTTGCAGGTCAGCATGGTGGGAGTACAAATCCTAGAATCCAAGATTTCTATACCTTGCCATCTTTTAAAACCATTGAAAACTACTATCAATCAATTCCTATTAGAAGAACAGATATGTAAAATGCGAATAATCTTAGCATTACTTTCGTCTGAATGGTTTTGTATTTAAAAAAAAAACATTGTATCGAAAAAATAAGTTTGACTAATCAGAATTTGTGAATGAACGAGTTGTCTTTTGCATGTACCAAAAATGCTCAAAAATATTTCTTAAGCATTTGATCATTGCTCTTGTTTTTAGACCGAAGCTGTGCGCGCACAAGCACAAATCTCGTCCGCAGAGGCGGCTCTACGTGCGCTAGAGGCGGAGACTCGTGCTTTACGAGAACAAACTGAGATGCTACATAGACGACTGCTTGACTGCCAGGTACGAGTTTAACTTATTTAGAGTTCTTGTCTATGGTCACGTAACCCTAATAACCCTAATCAATTCTATTAACTTTAGGAACAAGCCGTACGATTTATGCAATGTGACCGTGTGTCAAATCCTCAAGCTGTGGCACTTTTCATGAATCATCTTATACAGTCGACGATAATTCGTTAAAGAGTGCAAAAAAAAATTTCGACCCGTAACATAAGCGAATTTTGCTAATTTTACCCTAATAATTAATAATAATTACTTGAAAACAGACAGACACATGCCTTTCCAGACGTCTTTCATTCTTCAGTAGTTTTGTCAGCTAATTTGGGAAGTAGGGTAGGCTATATTTATTCAAATTTTACGTAATGTTTCTCTGAAAATATTTGAAAATCCTACATATCCTACACCCTACTCTTCAATACGTCAATGCGAGTTGTAAATACATATTCCTGCCGACATTCATT